CAGATCCTGGTACATGGCCAAGTCATATTTCAGATTCAAACAATACTTCGTGTAAAGGGTTTTCGAGTTGAGCCGCTATACAATTTTGAATTTCCTAGCGACGGTTTTAGCAAAAAATTCAGTTCAAACTTTTACAAACGTAAATTGGAAAATGGAAAGCTAGTTTTAAGAGATTGGCTGGTAAGCTTTTTTCTGCCACTAATACATCATTGGTTAATGGATGTAACGACTGGAGACATTGGTAAAATTCTAAAATCACATAAAACTACTAAAGTTCATTACGAAGTACAAACTTTATTATTTGAACGCTCGCATAGACTAAAAACCTCTAAAACTATAGATAACGAGGCACAACGGATCCTAAATGCTAAAATAAAGCACTTGAATGATGTGCTACGTCGCATAGTGTCCATAATAAAATTGTTAGGTCAAAGCTGCCTTTCTTTTAGGGGTACTGAAGAAAGATTGTATGAGCATAGTAATGGCAATTTTTTGAAACTTTTGGCAGAATACAATCCTATAATGGAAAAGCATGTAAGAAGAATATTAAAAAAAGAAGCAACTATAGCACCATATTTGGGAAAGAATCTCCAGAATAAAGTTATAGATATCATATCAAGTAACATGCGAAATACTATATTGGAGCCGATTCGGAGAGCTAAGTATTGTTCAATAATGTTACAGCCGATCTAAGCAAAACTGAACAGATTACACTTATTATAAGATATGATACTATTAAAAACAATGAGGTTCAAATTAATGAACATTTTTTGGGTTTTCAACCAATCGAAAGATCTACCAGCCAGCAACTGTTTGATATTTTAATAGCTGAGCTGAGAAAACTAGAAAATATGCGTGGGCAGGGGTACGATAACGGCGCGGATATGAAAGGGGAACGGTCAGGCGTCCAAAAAAAAATTCGATACATTAACCCTCGTGCATTTTTTGTTCCATATGGTAGTCATTCTTTAAATTTTGTAATTAATGACATGGCCAAGTCCTCTTTAGAAGCTGCCAACTTCTTCAGTACTGTATAAAAGATTTATTTATTTATTTTTTCCGCGTCGACATTTAGATGGTCAATTTTACTTCAACACGTTAAGGGTATAACATTGAAACCACTCAGCGATACAAGGTGGGAAAGCAGAATTGATGCCATAAAACCTTTGAAATACTAAAAAGGTAAAATTTATGAAGCTCTTTTTTTCTATATATAATGATCCAAGTATTGATGTTACAATTAGGTTTACTTACGCAAATTAAACAGTTAAAATTTTTATGTTCTGTTGTTATTTGGTTTACTCTTTTTAACCACGTCAACCCTGTAAGTAAACTTATGATTATGATATTCTTTCTGCGACTGAGGCTTTAAAGAATTTGTAGAATTTTTTTCCCAATTTAAGAGAAAATCAATTTGATCAACTGCTCGTGGATGCGGGGGTACTGGCGGCAGAAATTAATGTAGAAAAATCTTTTGAAGCAACAGATAAGCATAGCATCCGTCATTTAAAAAGAAACTTTGAATATGAAAACGAAGATGAACCTATAATAGATTAAAAAGGAAAGTTTAAAATAGAATTGTATTATCTTGTTCTAGATTTTACGCTCTGGAAGATCACTCGAAAAATTTTCATTTCTTTATGACATTCACAACTTAAAGGAAGTACCCAAAAGCCAGATAATAGCATACTGCAAAAAACTTAAGAACGTCTTAACTGACCAAGATAATAGTGATATAAATAGCTTAAGCTAGCTGACGAACTGGTCATTGTATCTTCTTGTTTAAACAAAAAAAAAAACTAAAGAAGTACTTCAATTTATAACAAAATTGAATTTTGTTCCCAATTTAAGTATAGTTATCCGGATCCTTTTAACGCTTCCAGTAACTGTCGCTACCGGAGAAAGTGGTTTCTCAAAATTAAAACGTACCACAATCACACAAAATCGACTTTGTGGTCTTGCTATTATTGCAATATTACACGAGATATATGAGAAAACCAATATTACAGAAATCATAAGACAGTTTGCTGAAATTTATATTTAAAAAAAAAAATTTGTTAGGTGTTTTTTTGGTTGACCCAATTTAAGAAGAGGTATTCGTTTGTAAATTGTTTGAAAATAAGTTTATGTAGTTTCTTTTAGTAAGCCTATTTTTTAGACCTATATAAAACATTTTGCACACAGTGTCAGGTGGAATTTATTTACTAGCAAAGTAGTGAATACCAACTGAAATGTCACCAAGTATTGTTTAAGAATGGGCTTCATTCTTCAACGATTTTGGGTCCGAGAATATGACATTTTTACACCAAATTCGAGAAAGAAATATTTCCATGGTTAAATCGTCGCATTGCAACCAATTATTTTTCTAAAACAACTAAGAACATAAAAATTAATGATTGCGTAATTTTTTTATAATTTATTAGTCTCAAATTATAAAAAAACAATAACAAAAACTGAAATAAGGAATAAAAAATATAAATCATAATATTGTCTATGTTCAATGTGTTTCCCTTTTGTGTATACATGGAGTTACAAAAACAACTAATTAACAATAATTATTGTAAAACATAAACTATTCAATAATTTAATAATTCAATAATAAATTTCCTTAAAGATTAAAATGTGCAAATATTTCTTATAGATCTTATTTCGAAGCCATTTTCTAAAATATATAAGCACACCATTATACAGATAATGGATGGGGTTTTTCAAAAATGTATTAATATATTGGATGTTCAATTTAAATAAATTAGAATATGAACTTTGAAATGGCGCCATTTTGGTTTTTCTAAGCGGAAATTACAGTTTAATTTCAGGAATACTTTAATAAAACTTATAACCTTATTTAAGTCTTTAGTGATATCTTAATTGGTTCGGAAGATACGAGTCCCGATAATGTGTAGAAATATTGCTAAACATCCGCTATTTGAGATACATTTATGTATCCACCAAAATTAGTATTAAGTTTAAAGTAGGAATAATATGTTTTAATAAGAATTTTTTTTATTTTAAGAAAATATCTTAAAATATACATATATATACATATTTTTTCTGCAAGAATTTCATTTTTTTCTATTATAGAAAAACGTGGAGTAAAAAGTTCCTTTGGGGAAATAAAGTTTAGACCCTTGTTAGATCTTAAACTAGACTGCAAAATTATAAGCTTTGCTGAAAATACCGGCATTAAAATATATATAAATCATGAACTTGGGAGGAGCTTACAATTAGGACAGAAACAAAATTCCGCATTATTATTACATTACTTCTAACTATGAAAAGAAAATTTGTCTCATTACCCAGAAATATTCTTACTGACATTATAGTCCAGGAGGTACTGACGATTTTCTGTACTTATTTTCCCAGTCACCACACATGGATAGAATTGTAGGGTTAGTAAGTCTAAGAAAAATTCATATCAACGGCTTAATCTTCGAACAAGCCAACTCCTCTCACGCTTAATTTTCACTGGGCACTTAAAACTGTCCTAACGGTTTATAATCATACTAGTGTTTAATTTCTTAGTCGTAATTTTTCTTCTTTATGTTTATCATTATAACAAATTCAAAAATATTATGTTTCTTTGAATATATTTTTTTATTTTGGAAAAAATGAAGTTGGCTTTTTTGTGGATTCATTTACTTATTTCTAAATCGGGAGTAAGCCTTATTTCTGGTAAAGTAACTACTTGCTAATAAGGCTATAATATGACAAGTAACCCAAAATGTAACTTTATTTAGACGTGAAAATATCGGCCCTAAACATAAACATAAAGTTAAAGTTATTAAATTTAAAACGAAATTTTATAGAAATAAAACGTTTTATTTTATTAAAAAACTAACATTATAACTTGTTTTAACAACTTATTAGTTATGTGGTAAATTATCGTAATATGAATGATAATCAGAAAGTATAGTTATTTTCAGCTCCTGAAGATCATTAAATTTTCGGCTATTTAATGGCAACCTATTGGAATGGAGAGTGGGTACATTATCAAATTGTCTTGGTAGAAGCAATTCACGGCGTTGTGGAAGTAGCTTCCATTCGTCTCCAAACCTTAGTTTATAACAAACGCTTCCATTTGGTGAATATTAAAGAGCTCTGATTTCATTTACCTAAAACCCATATAAAAATAGTAATATATTCCGCAGGCACATGGATTATTTTGTTTCGAAGTCTTCTTTCAATTGAGGCATGCATGGAATCTACCTCCATTTGTGTGTGTCCGACTTCTAGATACTTTTGTTCAATAATGACATCGTTAATCATAGCCACATTCAGCAATGCATTTGACACTATTACGTTTCTATTTTGTGCCGCGCTGTCACTGTAAATTATAATTTTCTTGACTCTGTCTTTGATGATTAGTGAAAGAACTTTATGTACAAGAAGGTGTGCAACAACTGAAGCAAATTCTTTAGCTGTAATGCCACCTTCGGTTTCTTTCCATAGAAAACAGTAAGCTTTTTTAGTTTTTAAATTAAAGGCACAAAAACTATAAATATTTAGTTTTGATTTGTAATATAATGAAGATACGTTAGATTTCGGAGCTGACAAGAGAGCTTGGACGTCAACAACAGATACATATTCCTCACTATTTTTATCGTTGTCCTCTTCCTTCCTTATCAAATGAACTCTGTAAATATCATCAGATATAAAACCCAGTTTATACGACATACATGTTTTACAGTCGTTTTACCTAAATCAAATGTATTCAGAAACATGGTTTTACAGACTCGTAGTAGGTCGTCATTTTTTTTTTTTTTAATGATAATATACCGAATATGATCTTTTTGATGATGAAGCGTTGTTTCTATCTCTTGGTCTAATGGTAGGCATCATTTTAACAAGTCCGTCAACGTAAATCTTTTTTTCTCCCCAATTTAACAACCAAAATGCATCAAACATTTGCTGTCTTGCCTCTTCAGAAATTTTAATGCATTTGAGTGCACTATTTACTGATGAACACGAACAGCGGGCTCTCATTTGTCTTGATTTTTTTGTTACTTTATTTTTCCATGTGCCATCTTGTTTCTTTCTATCAAAATATCGTTGACCTCTTTTTCTTTTTTTTTGCATTGCAGCGATCTGTCCAATTTATTGTGTTTACTTGACATCTCTTTCGCCTTGGTTTTCTTTTTTTCTGGTTCACTTAAAGAATTATCCGAATCGGTGTAATCGGTACCAGAATCGGAATAGGGTACTAATGCAGAGATACGTTTCTCATTGGAGTCCTGACTACTTGTAGACAAGTTCGACTCTAATACAGAAGAATGTGTTTCATCATTGATTGGACTAGCTGTTATTTCAGTAGATAATAAATCAATGTTCACATTATTATTGAACTCGGTTAAAATTGGTTCGTCAGATTCCTCTCGACAGGGTGCTAATATCTCACTGTTAATTTCTTGTGATACATTGCCCATGTCATCAATAAATATAACGGGCATGTCTTCTATTGCTATTGAGTTACATGTTATACTCGTATAGTCTGAGTCTTTTTTCTCTGCAGAGACGTCCGGTACAACATTTAACGCCAATTCTAGAATTCTCGCATTACATCTGCAAAAAGGAAACACATTTTCTGTTAAAATAAACAGATTATTTCACAGGTCGTCTTAGGATGGAGTTTCCTACACCACAAATTTTCAAGAGTTATTTTTGGATTAAAAAGAATGATAATCCTGTAAAAATGATTGTTCTGCACATACAAATTTAATGCTTGATTGGGGATTTTAAAGTCATCCAAAACTTTTTATTGAGAATACCTAGATTTGTGAAATTTAAGATAAACTTTATTCATACGTTTAAACAACTTTTTGGGACACTCTGTATACAGATTCCCAAAAACTTCACAGACAAATAAATACAAATATTAAAAAAAAGTACTTCTTTACATGTATAGTAAAAAGATCAAAATTCTCAAATATTATTTATTACGTAAAAAGGCTAACTCCAATGTTTCAGAACAACTCGTGTTTAAACTATTTAAAGTAATAACTTTGAGTATATCATACTGATTTTTGATAAATATTTTACATTTATGTAGGTACTTACGATTTTTTTCAATAGTAACACTAAAGAGCTCCAAATAATCCACTAAATAATGCAACAAAGCCACAGTACATCACTTCTTGTAGATCTGTCACGTCTTACTGTTATTTGGCGCCTTTTTCGCAGTGGTTTGTTTATGTAGGGAGTTGGCTTGTTTTTGTGCGGGTTGTATCGAAGCTTTGTATTAAAAAGTTATTAAAAAATTATTAAAAAAAAAATATTTAAAAAATTATTAAAAAAATATGCCTCATTTTCGCAGTCATGAAAATTTATAAGATGATGGCTTAGATTATGTTAACTTAAAATACAATCTGGGTAATGTGTAATACCCCGAAAGCCTTTCCAGACTCATCTAATCAAGGTCAGGTGCGCTAAATTCGGCACGTTTAACTACCTGGCTTGTGAGTCTGGCAAGGCCTTTGTGATTCTAAATGTCATTGTACTTTTTATAAAATTAAAATATAATCTATTATGTGACACATTTTCTAACTTGGGAAAATAAGAGGAAAAATTTTGAAGATGCCGCCAGACTCATTTGCCAATTTCGTTAATCAGCCAGACTTCTGTATCTGTATTTGTAACGTGTGGAGGTTGGGTTACCCCCACGGCACTTAGGCCCCATTAGGCCTATTGTGCATCCTCCTGAGATGATAGGCATTTTCTAGCTCGTGAGCTAGCCTACAGATTTAATGTAGTTGACAACGTCGCCAAGAGGTGCTTCTCTTATATTGGCTGGTGTTAGCCGATACTCGCCGAACACAAATCTTCTAATAAATGAGAGCGTCTGGCAATTGTAAAGGATATGCTCGATAGTCTCATATTCTTGTTTGCAGAGTGCGGCCTCTGACAGCCCCATGATATGGAGATGCTTTCGTATTTGGCAATGACCAGTCAGAATGCCTGTGACTAGGCGCAGATTCTGTCTAGTCATAGTCAAGTATTTGTTTGCTGCGGTGTTGGCAGGATTACTTAAGAGCTCCCTGGCAACTCTGCAATTTCTTGTTTCATTCCATCAGCCAGACTTATTTTTACACTTTTAAACTTTGTGTTCTAGTTTACTAAATGAAAAATATTTATGACTGGGATAATAAGTGGATTTGTATTGTTTTTTTTTTAATCCATCCAAAAATTTTAACCAGGCTCAAAAATTTTGTTTTCGTATACACAGACTGGGAAAATAAGTAGAAAAAAAATTCACTGTCTCCTGGACTATTATGCTCTTTCAAACTTCCAAAGTTCTAAGTAATAAAGTTTACACAAATTTGGGAATACCTACTTATGACATACAATAGCACATTTAACATTCTTTAACTATGTAAAATATATAAAATTAAGCTTAATTTAATTTAATTTAAATTTTAATTAGTTGAATATCATACACAAGTTGTATTTATCACAGCTTCAGTAATCATTAATTTTTATTTTGTACATTGTACTTTTTATTATAATTGTTGTTTATGAATAAATATGAAAAATAAATATCCCTGAGATAAATTAAGTAAAAAAAAAAATAAACTTAAAAATCTAACAAGTCTCAAAAATAATTAAAAAAAAATTATAATCAAATTGCAAATTTTAGTTCAAAATCAGTTTCAATTTAATTGTTTAAACAATCTTTTGTTACAAAATACAGAAAGACTTAATAAAAATCATAGATAATTATCAATTGATTTTCAAAACAAAGAATGTTTATTTTTCTTTTTTTGTAACCGGCTACATAATGTTCAACTATATGTAACTAGTTATAGAAATTAGGTCATTTTGATAGTGCGATTAAAAAAAATTCACTTTACATGCCAAAATTTTAAAAAAATAAATACTGACAATACTTTTATTATTTACTTGGTACCTACTCATATAAAGAAGGATAAATAAACCATAGATAGAGAAATGTCTACTTTCGGCAGAGATATGGGTAGGAAATGTCCCTGAATATTATTTATACATATGTGTGAAGGGATTCAGTGAGTTGGAAAAACACAAATCGTGTCCCTGATCAAAGTCCCAAAAATGAAAGGATACCTAACTGGCACATAAGGCAAAGGGATATGAGACTTTTATTCATATGCAAAACGGAAGAAAATTAGTTGGTGAGGTTACGCGAATAATCGTATTTCAAAAAATTATCATTTTTATTAGTATTAAAATTACGTCATTCAGTTTTTAAAACCTAATGTCTAATTTTTTAACTAAAGCCACAGTTTATTACAAACGTTTCTGTCTCCAAAAATTTTAAATACCTAATATTTTAAATTAAAATGTCCAATGAAATTTGTGCAATATATCGAAAAACTGTAGGGGTAGATATCTACAGTGGGGACCATAAGTAACGGATACATTAATTTTCTAAGTAATTTAAAAGTAAAATCATAAAATATGTCAATTTTTATTTCTAAAACAAGTCATAAAAGTAATTTTTTAAAACCGACTTCAAAATCGTGAAGAAGCCAGATCTTGACCAAATTTACATGGAACCGCCCCTGAGGCACCCCTTTCTAAAAAAATAAGAATCCTCCGTTTTTGATGTCGGGTAATGACATTTTTTAATGCTAAAGATAAATATTTTTTCTTAGCTAAAATCTTTGTTAAATAAAAACAAATCTAATGAATTTTCTTCTGTCAAGGTTACAGTTGTGCTAAGTTACTTGGAGTTGTGTTAGATATGGATTTAACTTGGTATTAAAAGTAACACAAAAAATGGACTACTTCGGTATTTTCCAAAATAAAATTGTGCGTCATTGTGGTGATTTTACCAATTATAAGTAACTAAATTTAACTAGAACGTAAATAGCTAAAAGGAGGATTGTTTCAGGGAGCGGAAATTCAATTTAAAATAAAGAAGTAAATAATACTAGCCTCAGAATTGAACTTTGCGAAACACCAGTAGTATTTTCATGTTAGTTGACAAATGATTCACACATTACAAAGGTGCTACTCTTTTTCGTAAGATTAAACCAAATGGACTCAGGATGGTCTGTAGTCTGTTACTCTTATAAAGTCGATGTTTCTGTTTTAATTATAGTTGGTTCTATGTAAATAGATGATAGTTTGATGTTCATGTCAAGAATTAAAATAAATAACTTTAGAAAGATTTTGTATTTCTCAATAAATAATAGTCAATTTACAGCAGGTTGTAGGCCGAAGCATAATTTTTTCCATTATACTCGTATTCCCGAATTAAAGTTCCAAAAAAGAAAAACTATGATAAAAACGCAGGAATTTTTGATAAAATTGGTTATAGTATCTAAAAACTTAAGATGGAAATGTACCTAATGCATAATGATTTGTACAAAGATATTGCAGAAACTGAAAGTGATACTAATGAAGCTACAAAGAAAACAAAGTCATTTAGAGCTTTCAGAAAAAATCTCACTACTTTTAGAAGAGGGCATACTAGGAACCTCATCGAGTATATAGTGTGTCCCAGATTCGCTTCTCTATACAGGGATCTCGGCTCCGATTATACCTACAGAAAAGGTTAAATGGGAACAGTTTTAAAGGAAACTTAGTGCTTTTGATAACCGACTTCAGATTTTGGATCGGTCAGTTGGTTATGAAAACATCGGCGAAAAACCTAAAATGACGGATTTCGTTTTTCGGCTGTAAATCCAAAAATAATAATTTGACAGCTGCCAAAATGTGACATTATTACATTATTTGGGCACTTTTTTAAGTCGAATAAGATAGCATGTATGACATGTTTTAATCGTTTTTTGTTATTTCGCAATCTGCCTCAACTTTAATTTTTCTTATAGCCACCATATTAGATTTTTCGATTTTTGGAAATACCGAAAAATTTCCAGTCCTGTGATGTCTTACAAGTACCTAAAAGATTTAAGTACCATCGAAATATCACACGTCGTAAAGTTAGGTATCATTTTTTTAAGGAGGCCATGATTTATTTGTGAGAAAATAATCAGATATTTTGGGACAAATTCCCAACTGTTAAAGAACTCGTTTTTAAATTAATTAATACTTAAACCTTTCAACAACCTACAGGTAGATACAATTTAAAAAATAAAATGGCTTCGTAAATGAATATTAATTCACAGATTTGCAAAATGATGTCCATTTGCATCGAAGAAAGATTGGAACATTGGAAGAAAGTTTTTTCTTTTTTTTGTATACCTTTCGTGCTAAACATTGAAATGCAAAACCAGAAATGAAAGAGACACGGACAGGCTTAGGGCAGGATATCGCGTCACAGGATTGATAAGGGATGTCGTAGTGAATGGAGTGGACGAGAGGTCCTTTCCATAATAACAACCGGTTGATATAATCTCTACCTGACATTGATACCGAAAATTCTAACTGCTTAATTCACTTCATTTACAATTTATGACTTAACTCGGAATAGATTCCGGATGAACGGTCGATTTAAATTACACATTCGAAGTTAATTATACGAGGGGTGCCATTGACTTAATACTGAGGCCCTTCCTTTGGGGCATTCGTGCAGACGAAAAAATTTTTTTACCGCCATTTTTTAAAACTTTTTTTCATGTTTC